CAAGAGTAAGAATTGGATTTTTGCAATTTTCTTTGACTTTTTAAGTGAAAATAGGTCGATTGTGTATGTAGATAATCGACACATGATAATCGGTAATTTGTGTATGTAGATAAAGTCAAGAGTGTGCGCAATGCCAGTTTTGTGCAATTCTGGGATGTTTTTTGAAGTGAAAATAGGTCGACGTGCACATGGATACCGTGTATGTGCAATTCTTAAAAACGCGGCAAGCAGTTTGCGATTTTGCACTTTCTCCCAATTTCGCACCTAATCTTCGTCATGATTAAGCATTTTTGTTCCATAAAAGTTCTAGTATAAGCGTAATTCGCCTAGCAGATTGTTGGAAAAAATGTTGAGAGTGGGGAAAAAAAAAAAAAAAAAAAAGAGAGAGAGAAAGAGAGAGAGAGAATTCCTTTACTTCGTTAAAACAAAATGGCGTCCAACACAAAACTAGCAGGTTGCTGTAGCAGGGTTGGTCGCCAAATTTTCCCCAAAAAATCGCCAAGTTACCATAATGTAAAGATTCACCTTTTTTGCAAGTGCTGAAAATTGAGGTTGGTGTTTAAAAGTTTGAGAGGGAATTGTGAAAATGGGATTTTGGTTAGCCAAGAATAAGGAGATCAGAATCATAAATGATTAGCACATATTTCACCTTCCCATCTCAGATCGGAAAATCTATAATAATAATAATAATGTGAGTAAATGTTTCAAATATAGTTGATTAATTTGTTTTCAATATAATTAATTACTTCATTAATTAAAATGACTGGAAGTACCGAATTTTGTAAACAGTTTACATGGGTTTGATAGTGCTATTTCTGGTATTTGTGGAGATATTTTTGTAGGAATAATAGAATATAGACACATCGATGACGTAGTCAAATAATTCTGTATTTTGTGGGTGTATAAAGGGTAATTACATTGTCTGAAAAAAAGAATGAGTCTGTTCCATCTTCCTTTGTAAAGAAATGGACGATGAAATTTAATCAACTGCAGAATTACTAATAGGATAAAGCTTGAATAAAGATCGGAGAAATGGTGGAAGGAAGCTTATCTTGGCAAAGAAATATTTTTAATGAGAGAAAGCTAATCAAATTACAAATCACTGAAATGTTATGTTTGGAAAGGTGTGTTAAGTGAAAATATAATAATTCTGTTTTCAAATTTGTTACTTTAATAATTTAAACAAATGCTGCAACAAAACACATTTCAGCACTAATTACCCGGGATTAAATGGTAATCAGAAGGATGTTTTCTTGGTTTTCCCCTATTTAGAAACTTGAGCCTGTTTCACTGAGAAAATTCTTCACGAAGGCATATCTCTTGTTAGGCCGATAGTTCCTCGCGATTCTTGCCGTAATCGAAGTAACGCATTGCAGTCGATTATAAATATTATACAAAAGTAACCAAGAAACTTGACTATAAGTTGACATTCTGAAATTGGTGTTAAAAGCAGAACGTATTATTTATTAGACAGTGAAAATTCAACCTGCCGATAAATATTAACTGGAAATTCTCGAAGAAAACGCGTCAGAGCGAACTGGTGTTAGATGCAAGCTTTTAGCATATAATGGTTCATTTGTATTTTTTAAATTTTTATTTGTTGCAGTGAAATTTTGGTGGAAAGAGAATTGATATGTCGTGTTGTATCCGAGTCACTTCGAGAAAAATATGATTTTTTTTAACATTAAGAAAACATTTAATGAAACAAATTGTGAGATTCAAAGTCCTTGAAGTAACCTCCTCCCCCAATTTCTTTTGTAGTCTTGCCAGTTTTATTTATCAAAGACGGAAATCATTATTATTTATCAAACGAAAAGTCGCTTTAATTGACTTAAGGATGTAATATTCAATATTGTATGTTTGTAAAGATTTATTTTGGAAACAGACTCATAGTTGACAATGCATGTAAATATGTGAATGTTATTTAACCATATGTATTGATATTCTTTGAATTCGAAACACAAAATTAAGTATTAGTTCGACATAGATTGTTGAGCTTAAGGCGAAGAAAACCCCCTTGTCGTCATCAATCAGCTCCTAAAACGTGCGTCCTGCAAAGCAACAAACACGTGACCCGTAATGATGTGTTCCTCCCAGCTGTCTCGGGAACCAGATGGCTGCACTAGCCGGTTATGTGGGTGGGTTGGGGTAATGTGGTGAAGGGAGGCTCCTAGTAGGCTGTCTTCCAAGAAACTTAGTATCATTATGTACATTTCACCTCATTATTGCTGAATCAACATGTACAGTTCATAGAAAAAGTCGCTTCGAACACAACATTAAATTTAAAGCGAGATTGTTTTAATCGAGCTGTTAAACATTTAAATGAAATTGGCGGAAGAATTTTGTGTTAGCAGTTCTAAGTATATTCTATGAGCAATTAGTTTTTCCCCCCGCAATATCATGTATAAACAGTATTGAATAATTTAATCCGTTAGGATAGTGGACATTGTTAGGAGAGAAGCAATCCACGGAAGTTGAGAAACAAAAACTAAAGTATTAAAATTTATTTTCCCCCAGTTGCCAACTTCGTTTTTTTTTTTTCTTTTTTTTTCTTTTTTTTTCCCGGTCGCCCATTAGATCTCCCGAGTTTTTGATTTTTAGTCTTTACTAAGAAAAGTTTTTCAGTTATAAGTAAAATTTATTAAATTAATAAACCTTAAAAAAAGTACAAATTTTATTCCCCCATTCCTACAGATATTCAGCATAATTTTTCCTGTGAAATTTTATTTCATCTGAATTGTCTTAATCAACTGTAGACATTTGTAGAACTTTATCGAAAAGTTCAAGCAATGTTTAATCAGTTAATATTTGTATTTAATTTTATTTTACATCAATATATGGAACATAATCCACACACACACATATATATACATGCATGTTAGTTACAAATTTTATTTTCATTATGTTTAAAATTATTTGAATTAAAGTTTTCCATCCTGACTGAGGATTTTCTCAGTATAAAACTACAACAAAACTAGCCAGTGATTAAAAAAGAATTTCATTAGAATATCTAATGAAATATCAATATATTTTAGATCAGAATCATATTATACATAGTTGAATAACAAAAATCATGCAATATAAAGCAAATTTTAGTCAATTTAGAATTCTTTCGAATTGGTGGCCCTGTGCAGCATTGGAATCTCCCATAGACCTGCAAGTTTTTCGTATTTCTCATGGCTCTTTCATATTTCTATCGTATTGTGTTTCTATTTCTGTTGATTAGTTTTTATTCTCAATAAATGAATATATGCCAATAGTTTCAGTTTCAAGAGCATGGACTTAAATTAACATATATTCCTTTATACTCTACATGCTGTCTTTTATTTTTATGATCAGATTTGATATTGCTAATTATGCACCAAACATGCAAAATTGACTGATCACAGCATTCACATTGGCAGCACACATATATATTCATGTAAATGTTTTGCTAATTATGCACCAAACATGCAAATTGACTGATCACTGCATTCACATTGGCAGCACACATATATATATTCATGTAAATGTTTTTTTTTTTTTTACTTGTATTTATTACATATTAATTAAAAGTGTACAAGAAAAATTTGATAAAATTTATTTGAAATATAGAATGGTTTCTGATTAGAATTTAAGTTAAATCTTTCCTATTTCCTTCAAATTTCTGATTCGAAAAATATTTTAATAGAATTTTATATTTTTTCACATTTTCATAGATGGAAAAGTAGTATTAAATCAAATTAAATTTAAATTGGCGGTATAGTAGTATCTACTTAAATATTAAATTAAGTAAGTGGTAGTATCTACTTAAAATTAAATTTTCTGAAAAAAAATCGGAGTTTAAATCAATGTTAATTAAAAAGAAGTTACGTATATTTTGAGAAATGATAAAATATAAACTTCTAGCAGAGCCCTGAATCATTTCCACAGCTTCACCATTTGAATGTGAATAGACATGTGGCCCCACCTGTTGGGCAACATGGAAGGAAAATATACTGTGAAGTTGGGAAATGACTTTCTCCCACATTTTTTTGTCTTTTCTCTAAATGGTCGTTTCTTCCAGTTTGTTATGCATTGAAAACAATAAGTATTCTGTTTTGCTCGACTTTTCCTCTCCTACAGTGTTAGCTTACATGTATATTTCATTATTTTTCTGGTGTTTGTCTGTAAAATATACAACGGAAGAAAATGTAGATCATTATTACTTTTTCAAAAAAGCTGTATACTTTATACATAACTGTATATTATCACTTTAATTTGAGTATTAAATTTGGTTGGTAAAAGGCATAATATTTATTCAGTAATGATATAGTATGCGACATACCACTTTTATTTATTTATTATGTAAAATGCTATTTTTAAATATGCTAATAAATACAAGTAATTAAAAATACATATGGGAAAATTTTCCTGTCTCAGAAGCCTGTGAAATTTTTAATTCCATTTAAGAGTGGCCTTGTTCATATGAGTTGCTCATTAGCAATGTTGCACCAGCAATGTTAAAAAATAGTCGTCACTTTTATTAATCAATTTGCATCAGGATAGCGTGGAAGAATTTGCAGTGCGATATTCTGGGGGGGGGGAACTTAAAAGCTTATAGATTGCACAATATATCATTACCATTTATTCCTTAATTTGTTAATTCCGCCCTCCAAGTATAGCGTGTTATCTTTTATCTGTAAGGTGTAAGTGTATTTTAACCCTCTGAGTGGCACAGGATTCTTTATCTGTCTTAAACACCCGTATTTATACAACATTTATTAGCTAAATTTGTATAACTATTTATTTTAGTTTCAATTTTCATAAACTTACATTCATTAAGATGACATTTACATTATTACAAAAAGTAAGAAAGCAAAATATCTTAAATATACACCTAGAAACAAAACAATCTCATGACCGTATAAAGGCGGTCCTACCACTCAGAGGTTGAAAAAGGGCTTTAAGCATATTTTATTCATGTTTATGAATGCATTTTCTTTAGTTACGCTTAATTTTTTTTTCAATTTTTCTTCTAGGATGAAGAAGAGGAAATTAAGCTAGAAATTAATGTTTTGAAAAAGGTAAGAAGTGTTTAAAAAGTATAAATTAAGAAATTGAAGAAAAATTAAATTTGATAAAATTTATGTGTCTAATACAATATTAAATTGCATTTCAGTACTCACATCATCGAAATATAGCAACATATTATGGGGCATTTATTCAGAAAAGTCCACCGGGTAAAGATGACAAACTTTGGGTAATTATCAAAGAATTTTTTTTTTTTTTTTCCTATAAAATATTTGTTACTTTCTGATTATCTACACCAACCTTCAAACTCTGCCAAGCCATTGCCTGAAAAACAATTGCAATTTTCAAAATATATGATGGGAACACTACATAACTTCCTTGTATGGCCTATTAAATTATACAGATTGTCTGCTACATTTCATTTAAATTTTTTCCCTTGAATTTCTATAGAGTTATATTTTTCATTCAATCAATTCAGTTCTCACTTTGCAGCAAGGGAAAAAATACATACTCAAAGCATTTTCATTAAAAGTTGTAAAATACAGAAAAACATAAGGAAAAAGTTTTTTCTAACAATTAAAGTTTGAGTATCTATGCAAAAATGAGCGATTCGCCAGTGGGTGCAAAGACACATTTTTTGGTTCACAGAATTGAAAGTTTACTTTTTGTCCCACTTCATAAATAGACACTGATGTTGGTGCGCAAACTGACTTAACTCACTATTCTACCAAGAGTTTCAAATGTAAACAAATGGTGGTCTCGTTAGGTTTAGCATCACCTAATAATAATTACACCACTTAAAATTGTTGATAATTGTACAAATATTGCATGAAGATTAACTAACATAAATTAATAACATAATTCAATCACTTTTAAAGCAAAAAATGCACATTTTACCATCATACAAGAATTAAAAAAAACACAGCTCAATGAGCCGGGTAGCAGAGTGGCAGTATATATATATCAATTCAAAATAAAGTAATTAAAAGTAAATTTAAAAGCTTATGACTTGATACAGTCAAAAGTCGTTAATCTGGACTCGTCGGGACTTCGGCAATTCCAGATTATCGATTTTTCCGGATTATAGATCATCAGTTTAAATCTGGTAAGATGGCATGCAGAAATTATAAAATTAAAAATATGAAACCGTAATTTATGAAATAAAGAAAAATTATGATCTAAAGGGTATCAAAATTTGAAAAAAAAAAAAAAAAAAAAAAAAAAAAAAGCTTAATATTTATTTGTTTATTTTATTAAACATTTCTTTCAATGCAAGTTGTTTAAATTGCTTCATTTTTTATCTGATAATACATTCTCTTTAATTCTATAAACAGACATAGTTTCTTGTTCAGTTACAAAGTTCCGCTGTTCAAGTCCTATAATTGTTGTGTCGAGAATACCGACTAATTTGTCAATCAAAATTTTTTTGTTTTCAATAACCTCTGTCACTTTCTTTGCTATCGGAAGCGAATTATAATAACGAGGAATCTGATTTAAATCATATCAAAGACGGAGTACATCGAGATGAAATACTACATTTAGTAAGGAATTATAAGCCAAATAAAATAAAAACATCTGCCCTAAAGATAAGGATAGTGCTGACAGATCAACTTCCAATTCATTGCGTGTGCCGCATCGTTAAAGATAAACAAAGTTCAGATAAACAAAGGATATGCCTTTAGCCATTTTTTGCAGCAATTCCACTTTTTTTTTAATGGACTTCGAAACATACTTTCGCTTTGTAGATCCTTTACATATTAGTAAATATATATCAGAAATTCTATTTGACATAATCGAAAGTTCAAGCTTAATTTTATAAAATTGCTCTAACAGTCTGCAAAAAATAATAAGCCGAATCCAATTCGAAGATTAAGGAACAATGCAATCTGCAACGTTAACTGAATTAGATAATTTTAGCTTAGCTTATACCGTCCGTTATACATTACACGGACATTCGTAAACGTATTTAGCGCACACGCGTATTCGCAGCCGTAAAGGTCTTGCGTGCATGCGTCAATGCAACGCATGCGCAGAAAGTTTGTAGCTTTGAGGTCCAGATTATAGATCATTCCGGATTATGGGTGTCCGAATTAATGACTTTTGACTGTATGTATATACATATATATATATAGAGAGAGAGAGAGAGAGAAAGAAATTTAGAACCAGTTTTCAACAAAGTCAGAAATTGAAATTTAAATAAATTAAAAAAAAATATTATAAATGTAGAATTAGAATTCTGAAAGTTTCTTACTTTCTCTCTCTCTACATATATAGAGGGTGTCTCATAAATGTTGCGGAAAACTTCTGGGGGAGGTAGGGCACATCATAAGGATTAAGAATTGCATAGGAACCCATACCCGGAAACGTCGGGTAAGTGATAGCAGAGGTAGAAGATGGTAAAAGAAACGAGTGATTAATTTGAAACATTTATTGGTCAGGAATACAGATGGTGTACGACAGTTTGGATGTTACAATAGATGCTCAAAGGTTGCTCTATCAGATGCCAAACATGCATGACACCGATGCGCCATTTATTGCCGGACATGTTTAAACACACCGGGAGTTTCTTTGATTGTAGCAGCTGCACAGGCAAGTCTTGCCAGGAAATCCATTTCATTATCCTCAGCTATTCCATACACTTAGTGCATGTCTGCAAGCACCCGGTTCGTAAAGTGTTCCATGCTCTTCGTATGGTACCTACCGTTTGAATGAGGCAATCCCCACTTTTCACTAGCACTTTCCTGTACAGCACCCCATGGCAGTGTACAATGATATTTTTGGGCATGGGTTCCTATGCAATTCTTAAGCCTTATGATGTGCCCTACCTCCCCCAGAAGTTTGTCGCAACATTTACGAGACACTCTCTCTCTCTCTCTCTATATATATAGATATAGGGTGTAGTGTATATATATATATATATATATATATACACACACACATGGTTGGTGCGGCTGATTGCAACCAAAAAGGGAGATACACATTTGCATGTGATAGTGGTCCCATGTACAAAATTTCAACATTCTAAGTCTACTCATTTTTGAATTATGTGAGATACATATGTAGCTATGTGCAGATCTCACAAGAAAATCTCTTCTGAATGCATTTTAAACCCATTTTACAGTCCATTTTACTTTGCACAAGATAGTAACAACAGATGCTCAAAGTTTGCTCCATCAGATGCCAAACATGCATGACACTGACAGACCATTTATTGCCGGAGATGTTCAAACAAGCAGCTGCGCAGACAAGTCTTGCCACAAAATCCATTTCATTATCCTCAGCTATTCCATACACTTAGTGCATGTCTGCAACACTTAGTGTCCATTTACTTTGTGTCCCTACACTTAGTGTCCATTCTACTTTTACTTTGCACAAGGAAGTAAAAAGGCAGCATACAGCAAGAATTACTTAAAATAGGAACCAATTAGGGAAATTAAGAATTGGGGAGGGGTGGAAAACATTAAAGCACTTTTCCCCCCTACCTCTCTCTCCATGTACACAGTGATCTGTTCTCACTTTAAAAAATATTAAAAGATTGCATAAATTTGACATGGCATAAGAAAATGCCATATTTCTTAAGAAATGCAATGTTTTCTTTTAAAACTATTTGAATGGGGGGGGGGGACACTAATCAGAAAACTGACTGCAGAATCTGAAGACAGAAAAATAGCTCTGATCTGCTGCAAACATGTGCATACCTGTGTTTCTACCTAAAGTGCATTTTGGCGACATTATAGATTGGTTTCGGCAGCATAGTGCATTCTCTTGTGCGCATGTAATCAGAAAGATCCATTTTTTTTCCCTATGTAAATTATTTGACTCAAATTTTTCATATTGCCCTTGCTTTTAATTATTATGTAAGAGTATTTTTGTTGGGCATGTTTTGTAGTAATTTTAACCCTCTGAGCGTTACGGGTTTAGCCTTAAAATTTCAAAGTTCCTCAAAATGTCATGAATAAGTGATATTTTCTTGATTTTAATTAAAAAATTACTCTTGCATTTTGTACCTTCATTCCTTTTCTTCCAATATACATCCAAACTGAAATCAGATACATTAAAAGCTAGCAGAAATTTTCATGTATAATGAATGTGGAAGGCAACCTTCTGTATGGAATTTTTTGGCCTTAAAGCTGAGAGGGTTAAATTTACATTTGCTAAATTAGAACATGTTGAATTTCAAGTGTAAAGGTAGTGTTTTTTACCTTGCTTCTAAAATGTAATTATGTCATTTTGAAATTGCATTGTTATAATTTTAATATAGCATTTATTTCTGACAGCTATTTTTATATGGTTTCTGCACTTCAAATAGGTTTCAAATAAAATGCAAGTCAGTAATTTAAAGAAAACATCTGTTTTGCTTTCTTAAATTTCGTACTTTCTTATTTTTCTTTTTTTAATTGTCCTTCTTTTCTTTTTTTTTGTTCATCCAAGTAGGCCAAAATGATGTTTCTTGCCTTTCTGCTATACAAAATTCTATTAAGGTATGGAATGTGCAACTATGTTTTCCTCTTTGAAACTAAAATTTTATACGGCCGATAATTGTTAGTAAAAAGTAGTACTTAAGCTATGCTTTTTAGAAGATTTTTCCCTATTGCTGTAAATTGTGTGAACTCCTAATAACACAATAAATAAATTTGTGAAGAAAAAAATTGGACTTAAATTTTCTACCTGTTTGCTGATGAGAACTATACTAGTAAGCTGGGGGGGGAAATTATTTCCTTCTAATCTTTATCTATTATTGCATGCTATATAGACACACTTAGATATTATTATTTCAATATGTTTCAGAATTGTTTTGAGAAATAATTTATACTAGGTTTCCTTAGAAATTTAGGTTTAAAACTCAGGTTTTATTACTACAACATAAAACATTAATTTACAGAACTTTGATGTTAATGTAAATACACTGCTTGATCTTTATTTCAAAATGATAGTCAGAATACAGAGCGAGAATGGCGGCGGCTCAGTAGGATTAAGATTGTTGGAGTGCTCCCCACCCACCTGATCATGAAGTGATCTTATGATCTTGATGTAGCACCACTGCGGACAGCGATGCACGAAGAAACACATCTAGGCATAGAGTCAATAAGAGTGCGGAGTGTCCTGAGGGATGGCTTTCTATTCCTTTTCCCCAAACCATTATGCCACGTTGTCGTGCGGTAGGGTGTTCACAGTTACTTCTGGATTAGATGTCTCCACGTCGACGCCACACAAGTATGCAGCGACTGT